CTGCTATTTATATCTACATTGTTAGTCATTTAATCAACCCGATATTGATTTGAATTGTGTTGTTCGTCGAGTTTATACCGGTGTGTTAAAAGCCATGACGAATCGAACAAAATTATTTACTCATAAATAAGTGATTAGCGTCCCGTGAACAAACATTTAACAATCAGGAGAGGTACAGACACAGAAAGAGAGAGTAAAAGGACTGTTATATTTGGAGCATATTGGTAAGATTCAACTCTCATGTATTCTTTACTCATTGAAATGTGTATTTTTCAGTAAGATTCTGAATCGAAAGCAAATGAAGTGAGTAAAAAAATTATATATCCTATAAATAGTGTTCTCAAAATACAAAATTGATTTACATATTTGACCCAGACGGAAAGAATTTTCCTCCTCCGCTCAAACTCGCATCGATAAAAATATTGAAACAGCTCAATTTTGATTCGGCTCCAAACTATCGCATCCAAATCATACACACATTCACAAATATTTTATCACTTTGAACAGCACCGATGAAAAATTGCGCTTGAGAAAAGATTGGTTGATCCGTTGTTGGTATGCATTTTATTGGCCATGAATCACATTGGAATTTGTGATGCATTGTGAAAATATTTTCATAATAATTGAAGCTAATTTCAGAACATTTCAATTTGGATTCATCTTTGACCTACCCAAAATCTTAACATATATGCAGTTTGTGCCAGTCCCTGTGTGTGAATCTGTCTGACTAGTGTGTCTTTATTTGAATTACTAGATTATATTTACAAAAAAAACGCTAATAACGATAACTAGTTTAACAATGACTTCATCGTCGACTGCATTTCTCATCGCATGGAAAATGGAAATGGAAAAGCTTTTAACGTGTCTTATTTTCAGGCAATTTTAGTAACAATTCCGTTTATTAAATGACATGCCATGCAATTAACCAATTACATACTTAAAGATAATTTGTAAACTTCTCATCCGAATGACTTCCCGTTTTTTCCTGTCTTCATCGTATTCGTTTTCTTGTTGGTTTAGCATTACTCTTTCTTACTCTTTTTAAATGCTCATTTGATTTATTTCTCATTCGCTTGCACACAAATAGTCAAGTATAGAAGTCACTTCACGTCCTAATCGAATAACTAATTGATTATCGAAAAGCAAGTTAAATCGTTTCTATTTTTTTATGTGTTTGCTTGTTTGTTTGTTCTTCTTCTGTTTTTATTTTCGTTTACATCTTGATTCAACTCAATAAAATGCTTCCTCTTCAAGAGTGTCCAGTCATATATCAGCTAATTTTTATTATATTGACTTCAAATTAACTGTCCGTTTGTCCGTTCATGCATTTCGATAGAACGATCGCTTGATGTGATCATCTTTAATCATTTGATTTCGACAAATGCAGCCCACATGATTTTCTTTTTTTAAATGCTTCATTGTAATACATTCACCTCATCATACACAGAAACGTATCTGCTTTCTATTATCTTTGATTTCTTGTGATTTCGATTTCATCCCAATTTTCTTCAATTTATTTTTTGTTTTGTTTATTTGATTTTTAACTTTTGTAATAGATCCCTTTGGTTTGTTGTTTTTTTTTTCTCTCTCAGTCACCACATATCGCTAACAAAAGCATGCTTATAACAATTAGAAAATGAAAAGAGAGCAACCAAACTAGAAATAGAGACGGAGAGAGAGAGATGGATGGAAAAACAAAGAGCCTGGTACACAACATCGAACGAGAGAAAAATATAGAGAGAAAATGACCCATCGTCAAAATAAGACATGAATACAGGTACATAAATTGAGGAAGAAAAAAACAACAACTAAATCAAATCGAATCGCGTGGGACTCTGTTAACAAGAAAAATAAAAGAATGATAACCTTAAAAAATATTAAAAAGATATATAAAAAAGGCAAGTCATTCTGAGAAGAAGAAGGTTATTTGTATTCTTCATGCTCTCTCAAACGATAGAATGCATTTTTTTTAGAAAAAAAATCAAATAAGCGCATATAAAACGCCATAAATGTTTTGCTCTTTTCAATGGCTCTGCGAAAAACGAAGATTCTACACACAAATACACATCAAAATGAGATATACTTTTGGTACTCTTTTTTCTCTATATTCTTTTGTGTGTAACCTTTTTTCGGCGCTGATTTTATTGATTGTTATTATTAGTTATTATTTAATAAAGAAATAAGGTGTGCAATGGCGCTTTTATGTTTCTATATAGTCACTGTGTGTCTAGCCTCCTCACTTTTTCCTGTGAAAAAAAAAATTGGAATAAAAAACAATGGGATTTCAGTGATTTAAAAAAATGTCAAACAGAACATTGTATTTTGTTATTCATTTTCACCACATTGATTCGTTTCACAGTGAGAAATCATATTAGCACGAATTCTTTCTTTTTTTTTTACTTGATTCATTGTTACACCTATATTGTGCTCAAATGAAAATGTTGAAAATTCCAAAAGGGTATTCTTCAAACGTTAAGCGATTCAATATGCATGCAATATGATGGGCACAACATAAGTCTAATCGAGCTAAACATCAATGCTTTTGGTTTGTTTTGTTCTTAGTGTGATATCTTGTGTGATCAGTATGATTACATTATCTGATGTTAAATTTGATTAGGTGATAATTGAAAGCTCCGGTTAAGCGTTTCGGGCAAATCGATGTGAAAATTTATTTGTACAATAGAGCGCTCCCACCCTCTATGGACTAAACTATGTACGTATCGAATATAATGAGGTGTGTTTTCCAATGATTTGACCTTTAAAGTAAACTCTTAAAGAACTGCAACAACAAGAACGAAAAAAAAAACTAAATAAATAAGTGCAAGCCATAAACCGACTCGCTGAAAATTCTTCCAATTTTCTGCATTGTTTTACCATCTCTATTTTCTCTATCGCTTTATATTCTCTCACTTACCGGGTACGATATTACCATATTCAGCTAGGAGCCGCGCATAATATGCTTACAAGCGATTGCATATTCGTGTTCACCATCATAATCTGGAAATGTTTCTTTATTGCTTATTTTGGAGAAAGAGGAAGAGAAAGAGAGAGAGCGCACATTTGCTCGCGAGTATATGTCTATTTTATATGGTGAATGTATATCTGCAATCTATCTGCTCTGCAACATTTACGCATGCACTATCACATTGTGTGAGCGCATATTTCAAGAGCAAAGACCAATAAATACGTGTTGCACAAATCGCCCATACACATCAACATTTTCAGGTATGTAGAGTATGCGCGCGATCATTGAGTTTGTGTATTTGAGCATTGAGCACATTGGGCATTCTTCGAGCAAATTTGAATATTTCCTAATTCAATAACTTATCGAATCGAATGGTTTTGTATTATTATTATATTTCGTTGGATTGTTCGTGTCTCTCTGGTAGCATGGAATGTACCAAATTTAACTAGTAGATATGAACAACCGAATACATATGAATTTTGATATTTTTCGCTTCAACATCAGTATTGATGAGGTGATTTTCTGAATAGCACACCGAGAGACAGAGATAGAAAATCCACCCATTTATTATGATGAAAATAATAAGCAGCAGCATACACAACAGCACGCTATATGCTCATGTAAGAATACAATGTATGCATAATTGACACAAATACATATTGGATATATGGTTGGCACATTTATATTCACAACATTCAATACAAAATACATGCAATGAATCCTGCAATTTGAAGTACATTCAATTGAAATTAAATGAGCGCATCCCCATTACATATTCGTTCTATATCTATAATATTGTTTTTTTTTATTCTCTGGAAATATTTCATGATTGTATTTCATTGAGTGGCCCAAAAATTTTATATTATGAATATATTATTTTCATGAACAAAAGGAAAATTAACAAAAAAAGATAATATTGCAATTTTGGTACGAAAATTTTCTTTAGAATGCCTTTGATAATAATTGAAGCAATATTCATACACATAATATACATGTAGTCGCATTTATATTTGGCATGTATGCTTAAATTATCGATGGGTATGGAGAGCAAATTATATACAGAGAAAAAGTCGACAAAAAAAAACAATAACAACATATTCACATCTAACCATTAAATTACACACGATATTGTACACTTTGTACTCATTTCTACACTTTAAACAAACATTAAATGCCAAATCGCTCCAATATGATGCAAATACAAGTAAAAGAGACACTCATCACGCGCGCGAAAGACAGAGAGAAACACCTACAGTGCGCTGAACGAGTGCTGAGTGGTAACAAGAAAAACAGCGATGAAGAAGCAGAAGATACACGAACAGACAAATAACGCAACATACACACATATACATATAAAATGGTTACCGCCTCCTGATGGATAAACACATTTCTTTGGGTGGAACGCGCAAACATTTATGTGAAATAACGAGAGACTGTGAACATTGTACAATGATGATCAAAACTTTTATTCGCGTACAAATACGAGCAAACACTTTTATTGCATGTCACCTTGTTTAAAGGTAATAGACACATATTCTGCATATGTGTGTTGTTGTTGTTGTTGTTTTTGTTATTATTATTATTCCAAATGTAGACGAAGTTTTGGTATTTTACGCACTGCGCAAGCACGTATGTACACATAAATATGAACAGAGAAAAAAAGAGCAAAAGCATAACACCGATTTGTTGGACTATTAACTAACTAACTAGCTAACTATATGGTATTTTCAACTAGATGTTGAATACCCAATTGCGCACACATGCACACCCCACAATGAGAATAAAATAAACCGTATGGATGAAGCACACGACAGAGAATGACGGACCGAGAGAATGTTCGCGAGCGAGTAAGCGAACGAGGTAGAGAGAGAGTGTAGAGAAAAAGAGAAAACGAGAGAAAGATTCGACGGGAGCCAGCCCATTTGTGCATTGTGCAGCTGTTGTTGGTATACGTAAAACGATGAGAGAAGCACACAGCAAAAGTGTTGGTTGTACGTTTCTTGCTACGTTAATAGCACAAATCGGTGTGACGGCTATACACAGTGATGTTCATCGTGTGGTTTAGTTTTCGTTGAGATTTCGACACAAACGGTCCTATCTTTTATAGAAACGATTTTCGAGCGAGGGCTATCAAGTTTGACTCGATTAAAAAAATTATCGTCGTTTGTCGTACACTGTTTTTATTTTTGTTTGGTTTTTTCGTTTGTTGCGCGCGCCGTTAGTTAATATTTTCTTCGCTAGCGGTAATCTGTGTTTAGCAGTTAACGTGTGACATATTCACATTTTATTCGGTGATTGCGATTTTTTGTCTCTGTATATCTTCGTGCGATGACATATTAAAATAACAAACAACAACCGCAAAATAAAACGACAGTGCAAATATTGTGCAAACAATTCAGAAGTTTATACATGTGCGTAATTGAAGAACAATCTGCAATGAATCGTTTCATGCAATTAAGTTTTTAATTGATTTAAAATTGATGGTGATTGAAAAAAATAAATAAAGCGTTTTTAACAGCGTTTACATCGAATTCGAATTGATTTCGAAGAAGAACCAAAAATACAAATAGATATTTATAAATCGAAATCATTTTAATTGGAATAGTGTAAAGTTAATCGCACAAAATATACAACCTGACTTCTTTGAAACAAGGGAAAATGATTCCACCAACACCCACGACATTAACCACAATGCCGGGATCAAAAGCAAAAATTGGTTTTAGCATTGATTCAATTGTTGGCGAAGAAGTGTCAAAATCATCAACAACAGCAACAACAAAAGATCGAAATGATAAATATGTAAATGATTATCAAACGGAAATTGCGCGTGCATTACGTTTATCATCATCCGATTCATTCAGTGTGGATGGACATACAAAACTTCGTCCGGAATTAAATGGAACCACAAAAGATGCACGCCATTTATTTGGCTATTCAATGAAACGTGAATCATCTGTGAGCCCATCAGCACCACCGTATCAAATGCAAACGACATTGCCGTCGGATGAGAGTTTACTGCGAAAATCGCGTTCACCGTCGCCAAATCAAACGGCTAGTGCTTTAACGAATAACAATAACACAAACAGCGCAAATAATAATAACAACAACAGCAACAATAATAATTTACATACTAGTGGTAGTAATTCAAATAATAATGAGCCGCCGGTAGTTCCTCCATTAGCATTTACGGTGAGTCGAATGACAACACGACTACATATGAATCTAACTACATATTCCAAATCATTCGGACTATCAACTTCTTGCTACTTTCAACTTCTCGTTGACCGGTTTAAATTGAATGATGTTGAGCACATTGTGAATTGTATGTGTTGTTGATGGCATGACGATTTCGCCATTTTTCAATTATTATTATTTCAAGATTAGCACACGAATAATTGAGACACGGAATCAAAGTGAAATTCTTAAAATATAACAAAACAAAATGATTAAAATGTAAATAAATATCTCACATATGCAATTCACATAAATGTCATTCAACAACTTGTCAAAATAGTGAGAAATGAAAGATAGGAATATGTTCGAAACTCGTACAGAGATAGAGAATGAAAATGTATAAGTATATTCAACGGTGTCTTAATATGTTGTGTGTTTGTGTAAATATTACAGAATGGTTTGCATCCGAGTGGACCAATCCGACCAATGCCAATAGTTCCGCCAACGAATTTGGTGGAGACAAAAAATTTGCCACCTTCTTATTTGGGACTAGGCTCAGCGGCTGCAGCAGCGCATGCACCACATCTACTGCAAATTCAAATGGCTGCAATGTTGGCACAACGACAGGCGGCCGAACAAGGATTTGCACAAACCGCACCATTTCGACATGCACCACCACCACAAGGCTATCCACTATATCCATGGGTATTCAGTCGGCACGGACGCGTGTTTCCACACTTTCCAGGCAGTAAGTATTTGCTTTCATTCCTAACTATGTCAAATTAAGAAAATTCAGAGTGAAAGAGAGGTATTCAAAATATCAATCAGAAACAAGCAAACATTTCTTCTCATTTAGCCGTGTACAAATCATTTTTTCTTTAAATTTTTATTCTTTTACTTTTCGCCAGTATCATTTTCATTTTGCGTGTGAATGCAATTTGTTGTCAATTTATTTGATGTTTATTCTTTAAGACAAAAAAAAAATGATTCGCATAATTCGAAGAAGAGAAGAAACAACAAAAATCAAACGATACGAAATGACAAGGAAAAAGCTGCATAATCTGATTGAAAGTCAGTGTTTGGTACATGCAAGCGTGTAATTGTCTACGAAAAACACATAAATACCGCTAATAACTTTCGCTCAGTTGACTGTTGTCAATCGATCGGATATATTTAGTCGAGATGTGTTGAGAATGTATTTCAATGTCCGTTGAACATTTTCAATTGTGATCGCTCATTCTCTCTCTTTCTCTGTTTGTATCGATTCAATTGCGTAGCACCAATATACCGTAGTCTGTTCGTCTCTGTATATTTTTGTGTGCATATATTGTCTTTTGTGAGATACGTTGTCCTTGTTCCATTTCTGTTCTATATATTTCGTTTATTTTGTCTGCACATACCAAACTCCAGATAATGGTTACACTCATAAATTATTTCATGATAGAGCTTCGCATCTTCTTCTTCTTCATTTTTTTTTTTCGTTGGTTCTTTGTCAACGCGAATTTTATTTCGTGAAGAACAAATGTACAAATTCCTTGTTATCGTCGTTGTTGTGCTTGTTTATTTGTTGTTCTTGTCCGCTTTTTTCACTCGCTCCATCTCTCTTTTTTTTTCGTTTCGTTTCGTTTATTTTCACTTTTTGTCGAAAACAATCAAGCAAGGCGCCTGATGCCACGCTTTTAATATGTTAAATTGAATGTGTTGTTCGCTGTGTGTTTCTGCCTTTTTTTTCATGCGTGTATTGACGAGCATAAACTAATAGTATGGATTCAATTGAATTGAATTGAATTGGTTTGCATACCATACCAATGTACATATTTCTTGTTCAAATATATATTTGGCTGATCTCTCACTGGCCATCGTCATCATCATTCTTTGAACAACGAAGAGTGAGTGTGGTTTATTCTTTTGTTTTCAATAACTAATTTGCTGCGGTTTTTTGTATTATAGGCACATAGAGGCAACCAGCCTCCAGTCAGTCAGTCAACTAGTGCCTATATGTGTGTATGCATATGGACATTGTTAGCGTGTCTCATTTTATTGAGCATGAACATCGAAAACAATACGTAATAAGATAAATACACTTTATTTTTGTATTGTATTCTAATTTGATGCGGCTACCATTTTAACCTGCCTTATTTTATTCTTTTCGGTTTTCTGCTTTCTTCTTCTTATTCTTCTTCTTTTATTCTGCGTTTGCTATGCGCTTTTCCTCAACAATTGTCTGATGCAATCGAATATCAGATGAACAGTAAAGACGAAAGCATTTTTTGTGTTCATCGTTTTCGATACTCATAACAACTCGAACACACACAAAAATAAGGCCCATCGCTTGACTTTTTTTTGGTTTTTCCAATATTTTTTTTTTCTTATTCTTTTCAATTTTCATTGCTGTATGATCGAAGAATAAGTAATAGCCCGAAAACAGCACACTGGCCGATGGACATCACAGCAAAAGGATGAACACAAAAAAATGAGTTTAACAACAACAAAAAAGTGGATGAATATAAATGGCATTGTTGCGGTTATTCATAGATTTATTTATTGATCAATGATGTTGTGTGCCGATCTTCTCTCTGTTTATCTTTTGTACATTCTATTCGATCCGAACTCGCACAATACTGCATACAAACAATTTTTATTTTGTTTTGAACACGCACTGTCTACGTTCGGTGGACATACGCATCGGTGTAGATTTATTTTGTATGGATCGAATGGAATGAATGGAACCAAAGGACGTTCTAAGTTTAAGAAGCCAAGTGTGTAATTTATAGTTTTATCATAGTGTAAACATTACGATCCATTACTAATTCAATGTATAATTAAATTTCGATTTGTCTTTTGTTTTCTCATCACATTTTTTTTCTTCTTCTTCTTCTTTGATTTCTTGCAGACTTTTTATTGCATCCATTTCGAAAGCCGAAACGCGTGCGAACCGCTTTTTCGCCGGGTCAATTATTAAAACTGGAACATGCATTCGAAAGCAATCAATATGTAGTTGGCGCTGAACGAAAAGCATTGGCTCAAGCATTGAATTTGTCTGAGACACAGGTATGTTATAAAAACCATTTGGTAATATTACACATTGCACTTTTTTTTCTCTCCCGCTGTTGTTCCTTTCAATTAGCAAAAGGTCAAAGCATTTCTGAATAATCATATGCAAAACATAAGTAAAGATAATATGAGTGTGATACAGATGATTGTGTTCGAAAATGAAATCGGCAAATGAGTAAATATGAATCATGGATACTAAGAATTTTACTCGTTTTACAATTATTTTATGAGTGTGTGCGTGTGTGCAAAGATTTTTGATAAAATTTGTAATTTATCAACCAACATTAAAAAGCTCGACCAGCCAAAATGGAAAAAAAATTTCGAAAAGCAATTTTTAAAGACCCAATACATATCAGAAAAAACATTATAAATTGATAAGTTGCAATCACCAAAATGATTATTTACGTTCATTTTTAATATATGTATTTATACTCGATGTTTGTCTTTTCGGTTTGTACTAAAATCGAAAGTTTAGTTGTGTCGAAACGAACACTTTCAAAGAATATCAAATACGATGACACATTCTTGCCAGATGTTTTACAATTGAAGAATGTTTCAATGTGTATGAAATAATAAAACCGGTGTGCGATTTGAAATGTATTAGTCTGCTCTAGCTCCATCCCTCTCATGTATTCGACTTTTTTCATTTGAACTTGGACGCGCATTTATTTTCGGAAGTGACAATATACGTGTGACTGAAAAAATATGAAATTATTCACAAACAATCAAGCGATCCGTTTTTTATTTTATTTTAATATTGAGAATTCGCCATGAAAAATGGATCAGGGGTTGAAGAATAACAAACATCTATGTAGTAATATAAATATTAAACACTTAACCGTTCTGCTTGTTTTCTCCCTCTGTCTCTGTCTCTCTTTCTCTTTACCAACTTAATGTGTTTATAACGCAAAACATATAACAACACCGCCTAAATCATTTTCATTTTCCCCCGAAACAAATAACAAATTCATCGATATGACTGTTTGCATTATATTATTATTGGCGGTGTCTAGTTGTATCACATCGTATAATATGCTTACAATCAAATATATGAGATGTATCTCTCTCGTTTAACGATTGTTACAAGAATGCGAAGGGAGAGAGAGCGGCTGGTTTTTGTTGTTGTATCCGAGGGACGCGTAAAACATGGTCGACGAAAAGGAAGAGGGCAAAGAAAGAGAGAGAGAATAATGGAAAATCGAAACGAGATCACTGCAAACTGGTACCAGCCAACAGAGCAAGCACATTTATACCACATGATTATCAACGGCAATAAAATTAATGAATTGAGTTGAAATGAACAAATTAAGTACTTTTCTACTGCATCAATAAAATCTCGTTTACATTGTATTCATTTGTGTTGTGTGTTTGTTCGATTTAGAATATGTGTACTGAACTGTGTTTGAACACTTTTTCCGGGAGCATTGTAAATGGTGGCAATGTGGTAAAGTGAGCTGTGTCTGTATATGAGCACATTGAGAATGTGTCACCATAGACGTACAAAAACATCAATATACACACTCTCACGTACATTCAAATTGCAATGCAATCATCATATGCAGTATACATTACATTCACCGAAAGAGATCCACAGGGAGAGTGAGAGAGAAATAAAATCGTGTCTCGTTCGACATGAATAATGTGCTAAACATAAATATATAACAAACTTGAATTATATTCATGGCGCATTTGTAAACTGTCCTGCTTCACATATTATCACAACTGTTCTGAAAATTGCACACAAAATCTAAATAATAGCTGCTTTTTTTTCGGGTAGCTTCCCTTTTTTGTGTGTGTTTATTTTATTCGATTGTTAAGCACATCCCTCACTCTACTCTGTTCGTTCATTGTGCATATTGTGCTCGGTTTTTGATTGCTTCAAATCAGGGTCATACACACAGTATTCGAAATAAAGAAGGGATGAAATGTATTTTCATTCGATGAAATATCTCACTACGCAGGATTATCGCCATCATCAATAAGATGTAGTATTGCTTGCATGCATACGTATATATGCTGGTAATAATGTGGCGATGAGAAATGTGAGACAGAAATAGAGCATTTGTATGTGTATATAATTCAAAATGCGCAACGGTATGTACCAATAAGAATTGTGCTTTATGATTTGCAATGGTGTTACTGTTGCCACCATTTAGACAAACATTTTATTCGAGACTTGTCTCTTGCTATTTGCGTGTATCTCGGTATTGGTGTTTCTGTTGAATAGCGTAGCTTTTGATATGCTTATTATACATGACATTTTATAATGTGAATGCAAAGTAAGCGTGCAAAAATGGGATTTTGCGATTGCATTGATTCAATGTCGATCGAATAAATCACAACTCACTTTCGATGAGAGAATGTACACGCACACATAAACGATGAAAACTCAATCCTTGATAACGGTCCCATTTACATTCGCATCATTATTCTCTTTCTCTCTATTTTGTATTTGTGTCATGTGTTCACTCCTCATCGATATATAAACCGCTATCAAGTAGATTATTGCGCCGTGTTATAAAACGTTTTATTAGCAAATACTTGAACTCATTCTCTCTCCAACACACACACGCATTGATTCGCTTAATATTAGAGGATTATTAACCTCTCCCTTGGGTGAAAAGTGTTTTTTCGCATTTCCACGACATCATCGGTTGAATAATTGAACGTATCAATTACACAAACAACACCGATCAACAGAAAATACGCACACACACCGAAATAAAAGGGAAGCAAATATAAACGAAGAGCAGAGAGCAAAAGCATTTACATTAGTCATTTAAATTTGCGTGCGCATGTTGAGGGTGGTGGCCTTTGTGTGATGTTGTTTTACATCATGATGGTATGTTGTCTGTATAGTTTATGCCAGCACACCATATAAGCATCGAGATAGCGAAAAGAATGTATAAGAACATAGAATGCCATCAGAATTACAGTGAGGGCGATTGAGAGAGAAGAAAGAAAAATCTCATCATGAAATTGCTCGGTAAATAAAAATATAATTGGCCCGAAGAGTGATGAAAGTATTAAAGCAATTTGCAAGCACAAGCCCCAATTTGATGTGGTGATGGGTTTGCATGAAGTTGCTTGCTATAAGTATATAATATAAAATGGTGGTGTACAATTTCCCGTAAATTATCTTTCGTGTTTTTGGTTCGAGTTTCGACACTCGGAACATTCATTTAACGTGCCACGTCTTAAAGTACAGTATTGTTATTTCGTTTTGGCACTTGAATCATTCTTGGCTGCTTTCATACACAAGCTAAACGAGGAAAATATTTCGTCAATATTTGCACATTGTAAAAAGCACAACCAAACATAATGGCGCACAAGAACGTTGTTGTTGTTGTTTTTTTTTTGTTTTAAATTGGAGCCCGATGAATTGTTAGAATATTAGCAAATGCGCACACAAGACGCTGCCGCATCCATTTTACTTCCAATTTGCCTCGCAAAACGTTTTGCATTTTGCTTTTCAGAAATGTTTACAATAAATTAATTGTTTCGTCATTTTTGTTTTCTGTTTACATACCGATGATGATCGGCCCATTTCATCAAATTTGATTTTTAATTTATTTTTATTTTTCGTTCGTTTCTTTTATTTTTTCTCTTTCGGTATTGCTTCGTGGAAAAAGGTTAAAGTGTGGTTTCAAAATCGCCGTACAAAACACAAGCGCATGCAACAAGAAGATGACACCAAGGGTGAAGGTAGCAATCATTCAAATAATCTTGAAGGAAGCTACGACGATGAAGAAGAAATGATCGATATGGAGATGGATGATTGTTCCAGCGATGATGAACATGGTGTTCAACATTAACCTGGCACGATGAACAGAAGAAAATATTAGTTTTGCAAAATAATTGAGTGATTCGCCGCATTCACAGTTGGAAATGCATATCAAATATTGTATATCTTCGATATGAACAAAACAAAAACTCAGAATGCAGTGGAAGCAACGAAACGGATTTCTTTTTTATGGAAATTTTCGTTTTGTCTATTTTTATTTGATTTTATATATTTTTGGCGAATTGTATTGATTCACTCACGCCAATATGTGTTGTCATCATCCAGAGTGTACAATGGTATGTGCATTTTATTTGGTTATATGAATAACTGTGCCAAATATTAACTATTTAATGAATATGGAAAATACACTATTTTCCCAGTGATTGAATAAGAGAAAATAGAACAGAGTAAATTTAAATGGAAGGTACTCGATAGAGTTGTATATTATGATTTTCAAGATGTCACTGTACGTATTTCAATGTTTTGTTTTCGAAACGAAATGGTCGATGAAAAACGATTTATTTGCAATGTTTTTTTTTTTGTTGCATCAGAACATAGATCCATTTCGATTACATAATCCAGTTTTTATGCAATGACTTTAAAAATCGATCACATTAAACGAATTTGAATGAAATCGACAGTTTATTTTTATGTTCAAAATTTAAATGCAAACCGAACTTTATTGGAACAGTTAAAAACCACAAAAATATATATAATTTGAAAAATCTCATTGCAAATGAATGTTAAAAGCGCCTGCGGTGCTCCATTCTCTGTTTCAAATATAATGCACATTTTTACAGGACATCACTTTGGTTTTCCAAACAGAACAGTATTCAACGAAATATACTCTCTCTTTTAAGTTATTGGGCGTTTGAAGTTTGAAATTTATCGTAAATGATACATCCCTATGTAAATAGTATCATATTTCTCATCCATGCAGTGAAACAAACGAATGAAGAGACATTTTAATGTTCATGAGAGCGCATTTAATTAAAATTGATTCCATCTTTATAAAGGAATGAGAGAGAGAGAGAGAAAGCAAAAGAAAAAAAAAACATTTTGTCGAATTTGCAAAGGCTTAATATTTTTAAATGCTAGCTGTAGTATTCAATAAATAAATTTCGTAAGGAAAACAAATAAAAACATACAAAAATTCATATTTTGATCAAATAGAATATTATTAGATATTAACTAAATATTGACAATGAAAAAAACAACTATAAACTACAATGATATCTGTTCAGTTAAGCAAGGTAGCCGTACGTGAAACGAATAAAAAAACAATAACTAAATGCATAGAATTAGTTTATCTCTGAAATATATTTATACCCCTATATAAGAACAGAAACATTTAAATAAGACGTACACATTTTCGTAGTAAGTTGAATTTATTGTAATTTAAAGAAGAAAAGAATGAAAGAAAGATTTAAACACAAAATGAAGAAAAATAAATTGAGAACTATACTAAATCACACTCTGATTTCGATTTTTCCACACCCACATATTTATTACGTAAACACAGCAATGTTTTCTTCCGAACCATGACATACAGTTTTTTTTTAAAATTAAAAACGAAGAAAATGAAAAAAAATTACTTTGAAGAAATTGATCTTAGTTGTACAATTTAGTAGTTTAAAAATTATTGAATACATTTTTGTAAACATATTAACTGTTTAAAAACATCTACCAACAAAAAACAACAGCAACAAAAAACCAAGTAAACACATTATTGAAACTATAAAAATAAAACACAAATGGACTGTTATATGTATGAGTGCAGAAGAAGTAAAATGGAAAAAGATCCAACCAAACAAAGAGAAATATCAATAAATGGCATACAAAAAAAATCTCAAAATAACCATTCTTATGTGTTTTATCTTCATCATCTTTTGCCGTACATTTATTTTCCAGTATAAAGTTCCTGTTGCTTGTAATATGCTAATCGGCGAAAGCTCAACCGAATGTGTAAACCTCACACGCTTTGGATCCATAATTCTTTGTGTAAGTATTCTTTATAAAAGTTCAAATTGTCGAAATTGAAATAATATTTATTACCAAGTTTATTACAATAATAATTGAAAACTAAATGTTACACGAAACAGTATATCAACGCAATAAAGAGGTGAAATATTTTATTTTACTCGCCAGTAGGTAATAAATGATAATTTCATTGAACTACTTCGCACAGTTCAACTCCGTTAATTTGACTCATTCGATTTTCATCGAATTCCGCTTAAAAAATAGTTCCCATTTTTTTATTCCTTTCGTCTGTTCCGATTCCAGTAACTGAAGTATTCATATTAATGGAATCAAAATTATCAGAGTTCGGTAAACCCGACTTTTAATGTCTCCAATAGTGTTGAAAATGATATCAAGTATTTCTTTCGTTTCCCTTTATTTTACTTTTTTGGAGGACTTGGATCTTGGGTCAAATGCAAATTGTACACAGAATATCGCAAAGTTTCTTTTTTATCTTTTCAATATGATATATCACACATTTTTTTGACAATTGTTTTGCCCAAAAGACCACTGCTAATGCTATTATTAGAACTATACTTTCATTTTTAATGGTTTACTTTTTTCCGCTAAATATTTGCGTCATATAAATTACATCCGAAACACAATCAAAGGGAAATGGATATGAAAAAGGCGTTAATCAAGAAATAAGATATGGAACCAAATCACAAATATGATGAAATGATGAATTAAAGAAATCAAAAGAAATGACGCAAACCATATTCATATTTTTTAAGTGGCAATCGGAACGTAATCAACGATGATGATGAATAAAAAAACTTAATATTAATGAAATAAAATAAAACAGACTTTCTTGTAATTAAATGCCAGAAGGCATGTCTTGCTGTGATGATCTTTCAAACATCTTTATCAATAATAAATTCATATCCTGATTATGAAAATGAGAATTAACCGTCCACAAAAAAATGACTGCGCAGCACACACACACACACACAAACCATATTTTAATGATTTCATTCAAAATATCAGAAGGATTATTAAGTCATTAGTTTAGTACCACGAACGGGGGTAACGGACAAACTGATATACAAGAAAAATGGCCTCAAATTCCCAGCATTTGTCGTTTCGATGAGTGTGATCGTGATATTTTAATCGATTTTAAATTTTCAATTTAAACTACAAATTGATAAACATTCAAAATTACTATTGATGGAAAAATAGTTAAACTGTGGAATGCATTCAATCATACAGGTTTCTATTTATAGCCATATTTCAGTTGTGATTTGACTTTTGAGTTACTCCGTTGAAAATCGATTGGTCTTTTAGTATTAAATTTGTGGAAAGAAGGAAAAGGAAGAGAAGAACAAGTTTTTCGCGTGTCGATTAAAAAAGACCGCCACTGATTTTAATTCAGTGTTTTATAGCATTTTTATTAATTAAGACATTTAAGTGGTCAATTCGGTACATAATTAATAGAGCTCACAACTTTTCGAAAAGCAAACCATTTAAACATGTTTATCCTTTGGCTTTAGATGATTTTAATTGGATGGACAGAAAGCATAAGCGATTATAGAGTCATAGCCAACATATTTGAAATTGCATTTTTTTTTTCGCATAAAATTGATTACGAAATATGAAAAATATTATGCAAAATTGTATGCAATTCGATTGTTTTAAAAGTCGGTTGCTGTTGCATTGTTTGGTTTCTATGTTCCGCTCTATTTATGTTGCTTACCGTGTGAAAGAATCAAATCATAGGCGAACAATTAAATGACCCGTTAAAACATATGAACCAATTAATCGAATGCGCTACGCATATAACGTAATCGTATATTCATTCGAAGCCACTTGACGATAATGAAAAAAAAAAAGAAGAAGAATGAAGCGATAATTTTAAAACGAAAAAGCAGAGTGAATAAAAAAAGCGTTTCAGACAAGGTGTATCTAATTATTAATTTCAAAAGTTGATGATCAGTCGGAACATGAGTCTGTGAGACTAATATTTATTCAAATCAATTTGATGGTTTATTTTAAAAGCTAATAATGATCTCAATCAATTGATTCCTCAATGTCAGTGTGGTACTGCGCGCGGTGAGACATCGGTTTCTTCACTCTCTCTATTCTGCGACGCGTATTTTATTGAATCATTGTAAGCTGCAGCGCTTGAATCTCGTATTAAAGAAGTAGAATACAAAAAATCACATCAATTTTTATTCATTTCATTTCCATGTGTTTGTTTTCTTTCTTCTTCATTTTGAACGCCACATTTCTATGAATATTGCTATCGAACTGAAAACATCTTCATAAAATGTGAGAAGCTGCGGAAAAATTGTGATATTACTAGCGTTTGTTGTTGTTGTTTTTTTTTTTATCTCTTTCATTTTTTTAATTTAGTTTTCACTAAGCACAGCGACAGCAATCACTTATACTATACACTCGGATTTTTTTTATCAAATTTGGAGCCCATTTGCCCGGGTCGAAATATTCCAAACAAACAACTTGAAATTAATTTGGAATCAACGCTTATGAATAGAAACGATGTGTAATAAAAGAAAGATGAATATTTTTTTTGTTTCATTTTGAATCCAATTGCTCACTCACTCGCGGTGATAGGCGTTATTGTATGCGTGTTAATTCAGTTGTTGATGGTATCACCACATGTTTTTTTTTCTTTCGTCATGCGTTTCATATCATATTTTGAAGCGCAGCAAGCCAATACAAGGCGCGATAATTTATTTTCGCTTTAATTATATTTGGACTCGTTGGTGTTGTTGTTTTTGTCTTTATTTTTCGTTCGTTTATTAACTGGTTCTCATGTTTTTCGATCGATCATTAATTACCTGAAATGTCTTCTTCCTACTTCAAACAGAGAGGTCAATTTAGTTGGCGTTATAACCACGATATGTTGTATGTTATGAATGTGCATATTAGCATACATGATAAAGACATAAGAGAACACATGGCTAACCAAAAAAAGAGAGAAGATAAATCGTAAATTGCATCTTTGGCTCCTCTGCATTTAAGAAAAAACCATGCTCACTTTTAATTATCAACTAAATATGACTTTCAAATCAGCATCTCATTTTCGTTGATAACAAGATTATTTTGTCAAGAGATTTTTTTTAAACTAATCACACAGGCCGTATGGTAAACAGAAACAAACCGAAAAGCAATAATTGCCTACGTGAAAAAGTATTCGTTGTTCCGATTAAATTGTGTTCAATCGATTTTTTTTCGTTTAATTTGTGAACACCGGTGAATCGTAGCATAATTTTATATTTCCTAAAATCATAAAAATAATTGTACCGGACGACACACTCATATATTCTCTTTTTTTTTTTTTTTAATATTTGAACGTTATCGAATAATGTCGCAAAAACTTTCATTAAATGAGTCAATCAAGATTTGCTTTTCCCTTCCAACTAGGTATACAGTGTACATATTTCACTCGACATTTTCTTATCACGATTCCGGCAATCGATTTTTGACTGGCTTTGGACGTCACACGAAGATAATTTTCGTTCGCCAAATGCCAAAAGGCATCGAAGTTCATTAAGATAATCCTAGCTTGAAATACTTACCTTATTTTTTCTTGAGAGCAAGTGACGAATAGTCAATGTAAATTCCAAAGATACTTGGAAATGTCAGATTACAGTATTTTTTGTCCCTTGTGTGTCTCTCTCTCTCTCTCTCTGTGTGTCTGCTTAATACCACACCAATTCTGAGTTACGCTCACTACGTGATGTGAAAATAATAAAAATTTCATTATTTGAGTATATATTTAGAAAAGGCGGCACCTTTAGCGAATACATAATGTCAGTAGATGACGGTAGTAACAATACGGTAGCTGATCGCCAATCTCTGAAGAAAATCCATTTTCACAAAGAGAAGAAGAGCGTCAAAATGTGTTTGAAATGTGAACGAAAGTTGTTTTTTTTTCTCTTTGTTCCATTTTTAATCTCTTTAATTTTTATTTGATTCTGCTTAAAAACGTTTTCATTTTCAATGAGTTGATTATATTGGCCAGAGAGTTAGTATATCTTTCACTTCATTTATTCATTATTATTGTTGACTTTATGTCTGACTTTTCGATTCTTCGGTTTGATTTTTCGTTTTGTTCAAATCTACCTTTTGTGTGTGTGTGTCTGCGATGAGGTCAATGCAGATGATTCCTTGCCATGTCGGCACATCGAAAGTACGGCCGAAATAAAATAAAGAAAATGATAGTCAAGAAGAAAAAAGTCGAAAAGTTCGAGATAATGCTCTACTTTATTTAAGCCAATTTGAAAATTATTACTACCTTCTTTTCTTATTCTTTCGAAATGTAAGGATCAATAACGAAAACAACAACACACGCACACAAAACAACATTTCATTCCATTTCAATGTTGAGCCTTATTGGAAAAAGTTTATCCATTGTTGCATTGTGTCAAAGATTGTGTTTTTCATTATGCGCTCATCTATCCAAAAGATGTTCCATTTTTTTTTTTCAAATCCTGTACTTGAAACTTTCAATAGAGAAAGAGCGTAATGAACAAAGAAAAACGAGCATTTGAAGTCCAGTAGCCGTTGCCTTTTTATCTGTAAATGAGCAACTTATTTACTTTTATTGGCGGCGAATATGACTTTGATGCGACACTCCACTTAAGAATAACAAAAACTAATATACAAGATATAATAACTGACTACCCATGTGTTGAATGGAATGAAAGAGAGTGAAAGAAATATGTGTGCATTTGACAAAAGGGAATAACACTATAGTACCGAAACCAAAAAGTCAATGTTAGATACATAGGACTATATTGAAGAGTAAAAAAAAACAACAATAACCGTAAAATTCAGTTGTAGCACTTAGA